CCGGCTGCTGCAGAGCCGAGGAGTCAGGCTGAACCAGGAGGAACCGGCCCCGAATCCCGCGCCTTCCCAGCATTCCCGCTCGGCTGAGGGGGGTCGGATTCTGAACCTGCTTGGCCCTGGAGAGTGAACCCAGCTCCTTGGTGAGGCCCCCTGGCTCCCCAGGGCCCCACGGCAGCCTGCATGGCCCCGAGCTCCAGCCCGAACGGCTCTGAGCCCCTGGGTGCTGGGGCCAGTGAGTGCCTGGGGTACCTGACTGCTCAGAACCGGTCGGCCCGGAACAGCACCGCGGGGGCCCACGTGACCCAGCCAGACCCCCAGCACCTCCTGATCAGTGCCCAGCAGCAGGAGCCCGACTACGTGGCCATCCCCGTCACCGTCTTCTACAGCCTGCTCTTCGTCTTCGGGCTCCTGGCCAACGGGCTGAGCGTGCTGACGCTGCTGCGGAGCGGGCGCATGAGGGCGAGCGCCGTGCGCTTCTACCTGCTGAGCCTGGCCACGGCCGACGTGCTGATGCTGCTCACCGTGCCGGTGACCCTGTACCGCTACTTCTGGCAGTACTACCCCTGGGCTCTGAGCGACGCCGTCTGCAAGCTCTACTTCATGGCCCGCCAGCTGTGCTGCGCCACCACCAGCTGGACCATCGTGGCCTTCACCACGGAGCGCTACGTGGCCATCTGCCACCCCATGTGGGCCATCACCGGCCTGCGGCAGTCCCGCATGGCCTACCTGCTGGCCCTTATTTGGCTGCTGGCCCTCCTGAGCTCGGTGCCCCTTACCGTGGTCTATGGACAGGCGTCAGCCTGCATCCTGGACTACACCTCCACCCGCCGGGAGAAGAGTGTCTTTCTCTCCACCGTCTGCGAGATGCTGGAGCCCGAGCCGTACGTCATCTACAGGAGCATCATCGAAGCGCGCAGTGTCCTCTGCTTCCTGCTCCCCCTGGCTGCCATCGTCACCTTCCACCTCCTCATCTTCCGCCACCTCAGCCAGACCCGCCGGCAGCGGGAGGAGATGGGGCTGACCCACCCCTGCTCAGGGGGCTTCTCCGCGCAGGTCAACCAGCCCCCTGGGAGCCTGCCTCCGTCGGAGAGGAAGGCCCGGCACCTCATGGGTGAGCGACAGCCTCTGAACGGCGCTCAACGCTTCCCTAGCACCTTCCGTCCCAGGGCCCTGCAGCATTTCCCCGAGGCAGGGCAGGGTCTTCAGCCCATTTCACAGGTGGGGAGGCGGTGGGGGGAAGACCCCACGCTTCCAGACGTGGCCTCTCGTCCCCTGTGACACGTTCTAAGAGGCCAGCTCTGAACACCTGGGGCCTGATTCTCAGAGCTGCCGCACACCGGCAGCCCCCGGTCAGCGTGAATGCTCAGCACCTCTGAAAGTCAGGCCCCAGCTGGCCCAGACGAGCCCCAAACTCAAAGGCCACTTTCAGAAAATCTGGGCCTAAGTGACTTGTCCAAGTCACATGAGTCAGTGGCAGAGCCGGGGCTAGATCCAATGTATTAGCACACCCACGTACCCAGAGCAGCGTCACATCCTGCTTGTTTTATCACATCGTGTACTGTCCCACGCACTGCACCTGGGTCGGTCTCGTGGGCCTGGGGCCTGGGCCTGAGGCAGTCTGGTGTGGCTGGGGCAGTCCAGTGAGGCTGGGACGGTCCGGTGGGCCTGGGGCAATGTGGGGGGCCTGGGAGGGTATCCTGCACCTCCTCCAGCCCCTTTGAAAATCTAAACTGTTTTTGAGACTCGTTTTAATCAGTAAAATAAATAATGTGTATTAACGAACTGGAGGAGTGAAAAGCTGCATAAGTGCGACTGCCACACCCAATATCCAGGGTGCACCCAGGAGTTAACCAACCCCACGCGGGGAGAGAAGCCAAGCCAATCCATGCTCCTAGCAGAGTCATCCTGACAGCTTCAGCCGCTGACGCACCGGTCCCATCTGCCCAGCAGGAAGTGCAGTCCTGACACTGCTATTCTTAGTGTTGTGGCATGGATGGCACAGGCCTCAGTCGGGATCAGGCCCATTGGACCCGGCTCTGTACAGAGACACAGGGAGCCGTGCTCCCTGCCCCAGGAGCTCACAGTCCACGTGCAAAGCCCAATGTACCTGCGCTCTGACGCTGTGACCAGCGCCTCCGGAACAAACAGACCGTCCTGTCTACACGGTTAGTCAGACCCCTCCAGAAGGCTGAGCAGATGTCTCTGACTCCTTCCATCCGCGCGTTCCGTTCCTAGGTTCTGCTCTGCAGGTGGCTGGCTCACTCAGCGCCCTGCCCGCTAGTGGGGATTGCCAATTCCCCAGAGCTCCCTTTGCAGGCAAGTATCAGAGGGGGAGCCGTGTTAGTCTGAATCTGTAAAAAGCAACAGAGGGTCCTGTGGCACCTTTAAGACTAACACAAGTATTGGGAGCATAAGCTTTCGTGGGTAAGAACCTCACTTTTTCAGATGCAAAAGTTAGTCTTAAAGGTGCCACAGGACCCTCTGTTGCTTTGCAGGCAGGAATTCCTGCCGTCACGAATGGAGTCGGGCCCAGCAGCAGCCTCTGTGCCGAGCACAGGGAACACTCTCTATGCAAACGCTCCCTTGTCGGTGGGCTCATCCCTCCTCGAGGCCGGAGCTGAGCCAAACCACACAGTCCAGTCCCAGCCCTGTCTACTTCCCTCATGGCCTTGCCCAGCCCCTCCATAACCACGGCCCTGGGGCCCGTGCAGCATGTTAGACCTAAATGAGTCAATAGAGACCCTGGAATTACGTGGCAGGAACCAGAATTAAGGGGCTCTGCTCCCCCAGCCCTCTCTCCCTTACTGCCCCTACTGCCCAGCCAGTGCAACCAGTACAGCAAGGCTGAGCAGCTGGTGAATCAATCCATTCATTGTACGCTGCCCCGGGATTTTCACTGTGCTGCAGGTTTCTGTGTGGGGGTGAGCAACAGCATTGTAGCAATGGGGAGGGGCAGGTGGAGATCTGGGGTATCTGGGCAAGGCTGCTGGGGCATTTGGCACCGAAGGAACGTGTGAGAGTTGATTTGGGGGGTTGGTGCACAGGAGGCAGCTGAGAATCGCAGTGCCGGGAGGGGCTGCATCTCCCCATTCCGCCCTCAGCTGGGCAGGGCAAGAGGTGACGTTAAATGTGGAGGAGGAAGGCTGAATTCCTCATTCCCCATCCCAGGAAACTTTGACTGCAGCTCACGGCCCCTGAGCCTGTATCAGAACATCAGAACGGCCAGACTGGGTCAGGCCAATGGTCCATCTAGCCCAGTGTCCTGTTTCACAGTGGTCAGTGCCAGACACTTCAGAGGAAATGAACAGAACAGGCCAATTATCGAGTGATCCATCTCCTGTTGTCCACTCCCAGCTTCTGGCAGTCAGAGGCTTGGGGTTGCGTCCCTGGCCATCTTTGCTAATAGCCACTGATGGACCCGTCGTCCAGGAACTTAGCTAGTTCTTTTTTGAACCTAGTTACACTTTTGGCCTTCACAACATCCCCTGGCAACGATTCCCCAGGCCGACTGTGCTTTGTGTGAAGAAATACCTCTTTGTGTGTGTTTGCTTTAGACCTGCTTCCTGTTAATTTCTTTGGGTGATCTCTGTTCATGTTATGTGAAGGGGTAAATAACACTTCCCTACTCGCTTCCTCCACACCCATCATGATGAACAGTCCCAGTCTTTTTAATCTTTTCTTGTACAGAAGCTGTTCCATCTCCCTGATCATGTTTGTTCCCCTTCTCTGTCCTTTTTTCAATTCTAATATATCTTTTTAGAGATAGAGCCACCACAACTGCTGTGAC